CTGTTAAAACTCTAACTGTAGTTTACTGCAGTCACCTTAGAATGCTCTTTACGCAGCCCTAAACAGGCTGAACAATGTCGTAGTTTGGATCTGTAAGTCATTGAATTCTTAGTCTACAGTCGTTCATTACAACAGGCTAACTTCTTACTATTGCCATAGTGCGTAGTGTATATAATGTAAATAGTATAAGATCGTGGTCCTTTTTTTGTTTCTCAATTTGTCAATTTATGCATTCATTTACTGATTTGTATTTGACTTATTTTAAGTTACTAATTGCAATTATGTTTATGCTGTTTGTTATTGTATTGTAATGATTATTACTGCATTGATGCTTTAGTTGTAAGTATGGTTTCCTGTCCAGATATTGTACTGCCTGGAACGTGCAGTCCTTGGGAAGGGGGCAGTGTTATGAATTTTGAATTTAAATAACTAATTTAAGTAGAATTATAATTAAAATTGTTGTATTTCCCCGTGCAATGCAGCGCAAGACGAATTTTAAGAGAAAGCTATGCCAGAAATGTAAAAATACAGGAGCACATGCATTTAAAATTGAGTAAAAGTTTATCTCGGTAATTTATATTTAAATTGAATAAATGTAATTGACTACTATGTGAGCTGTAACCGTAATTACATCTTCTTTTTGATTTCCAGAAATCTCGAGAAGCAGAAATTACTAGAAAGATCTCTCATGGCCGGTTGAAAACTACAAAAGCCAGAAAGAGATAATCTCAGCTCAGCTGTTTAGTTAGCTGCTGTTGTCATTGTTGTCAATTCAGTGCGAGATCAGATTAGCTTTTTCTTTAAATGCACTGTGCATTGCGTTCTATTTAACGGTTTTAGTAGTTTGAAGTATAACTACTGATAATTACTGCATGATATTATGAACCCTTCTATGAATATCTCTGAGGAAAATTCTAGAGTTCTGATATATTTCTTTTGATCAGAATAAATTTTATTGACCTATTAACGGACTAGTGCATTCAATCTATTACGAACGCGTAGGCACACAACAGTATATAATTATCATAAAAGTGATCATGCTGCTGTATTTGAATAAAGTCAAAAATTTTTTATACACATATCCACAAACTTTCTGGGCAGATGATGCATAAGAAGAAAAATCTATCTTCAGGAAGAGAATTAAATTAGTAATTAAACTATGTTTCAAGATAAGTATCATAGTAAAACAAGCACATTAACACCAAAAATACTATAAAGGATATATTTAATATAAAATATAAATGATTTACTATTTGGCATAGAAATATAGTTAAGTTCACAGCTTTGCAATTAGTAATGCAAAATAACAAGTAAGGGTTTCATAAGAAATTTTGGTTAAAAATTAAGTTTTTTTCTATATATGCTACAGGTCTTGTTTCTTTACAATCAAATAATATTTTTTTTTTGCTGAAAAAAAATCCAGACTAAACTTCAGAAAGCATGAATGAAAATTAAATACAGGATGAAGAAGATTTTGAGGGATAAAATTGAAATTAAGAAGGAACATCTGATATTAAGCACATGATAATAACATCAAGAGATAGGAAACCGAAATTAAGTATTAAGTACAAAGTGAAGTACAAAAATGAGTATATATAATACAGAGCATTAAATTATCTTTTATCAAATAGAAGGAGAAACATACCAATATTAATTAGACAATATTAAAATTAGACAGAAAAGGAATCTGATTGCTACTTTGCCCAAGTTTAAATATCTTTTATCAGTTAAAATAATGGCACAAACATTTTTAAAAAAATTCAGTTGAACATGTTATATACTATATTAATCAAATACACTTTTTGAAGGAAAAATACATAAATTATTAAAAACATTTAAAGCTTTTAAACTGCTCATTTGATTAGGTAAATACAATTATAATTTGAAAGTTAAATTATATATCTTAAGAAATGTGAATTGTAGTCTGAAAGTTGATTATTTGCAAGTCAAGACTGATGGTAAATTAAATATTTTATACATTAGAATGGTAATATTTGTCAAACTACATGGATAATAAATGCTTTAGTGGCTTAATGTAATATTCTGTCAAAAAAATTTGAAAGACTGCTATAGACATTTCCAACATTAGTAAATTAATGTGTTTCTAAATGGTTACCAAAAGAACAGTAAAAATTTATGGTACTATTCTGTTTTCAGGACCGTAAAAAATTGCAGCGAAAATGTATGCGCAAAAGCGCCAAATCTAGCAAACGCGCCCATTTAAACAGCGTGCCAAATCTAGCGCACGCACTGATTTCACATTGCGTAAGTTTATATAGTTCTACATTTCTTACGACGCCATTGAAATACTACTTTAATTTTTAAATCCTTTTTTGATTTTAAATCCTTTTTTAATGTCCTATGGATTTAACAATTTGGGAATTGCCCATGACGAAAAGTCGGCAATAGAATTTTGGGTAAAGTGCAGAATCACCCATTGTTTGATGCATTTTTAAGAATTGCACATACTTGGTATTCATGTAGACATCGATCTATTTTCAGTTAAAAAAAATCCCAGAATTGCACAAAAATGGCACTGCACACACCCTTGGCTTTATCTATGTACACATTGACCTACTTTCACTTAAAAAGTAAAAGAAAATTGACAAAAATCCAATTGTTTTTACCCTTGTAAAAAGCAGCAAACAAATAACTGAGCGATTCTGCACTTTACTGAAAATATTTTCAAAGAAAAGGCATCATTCATTATAGAAAATTACACTTGAACACCAACGAGATGAAATTATGCTTTAGCGATAAGTCGGTAGCAAAATAGTGATGCAGGCATCCATTCAGTTATGTTTAGCAATTTTTATATAAATTATAATAATGATCTGAAATAGTTCTTTACTCTTATGCTTCCATTCAGTCTGTTTAGCCTTTTTTCATATAAATTATAATAATAAAAAAAGTATTATGAAATTAACTTTCATCTAAATTAAAACATCAATCTTTGAAGTAGTTATTTACTATTTATACTTCCTTTCTTGACGCAATTATTTTTGGCAGCATTGGCATCAACAATAGTTTGGCGATTTTTTACGGCCCTCGAAACCAAATAGTACCAAATTTACAAATAGACTAATAGATATATGCTAAAATGCAATTTTTCAGTAATAAGTCAAAAGTTAAACTTATGTCATAAGAAAATTAAGAAAATATATTAGACAGAATGATAAGTTTGAATACTTTATAATTAAAAACTTTTACTATGTTGAAAAAAATTTATAAGCTTTTAACAATTCCCATGATATTTTAAATGATTTTATTGACCTGACAGCAGCCAATAACACATTTTTTTAAATTTAAGCCAATAACATATTTTTTTAATTTTAAAGAAGGAATGCAAAATTTGAAGTACAGTTCTGCACCTTTGCCAGACCACATATAACAAAATAGTCATTTTTGAGATCTGTTGCCAACATTTTAGTTCAGATCCTTCAATTTATAAAATTATGTTGCATAACAAATGATAAAATGAATTGTACAATTTAAAGCAATACATGCACATATTTTTATTCTTAATTTTATTTGAATACTTATTTGATACAGTTTATAATAATTGATAATTATTATAATATATGATAATTAATAATTGATAATTGATTCTTGATAATTTTTATAAACATTTACACCATTAATGTAATTAATAAAAACATTTCTAACATCAAACATTATAGATTTGAAAAATTATGGTTTGTGTACAGTTTAGCAATGAGTTTGCAACAATTTTAGCTTCGATGTCACAGAAAATACATATAATTAAATAGCTATATAGGAAAGGACTACCCAAAATTCCACAGAATTTCTTTAGAAAAGTTTAGCGATATATTTTACACTTTCAAAACTGTAGCTTCCCAGACAATATAGCGGTGAGCATAGTGCGGTACTGAAGAGGCTGGGTTAGAATCTGAGAAGGAATGGTTGTAATTGTTCGTCTTTTCACAGAGGGCAATGGTGGCAGTCAATTAAGTGCCTTCACAATAAAACGGACAACAATTCTGCCCTTAAGAGTGGCCAATGCAGAATAAGCAAGTGCCCAGCACTGGCAGGAAGGGGGAGGACTTTCAAAATAGTCTTCATTGAATTAAACACTAATTATGTTATTCCTCTCCCAGAACTGAAAAATCATCTTTCATAAAAAGCTTTCAGCAACATTATATCTTCTGGACTTCATTTATGGCAATAAAACTTTATCCTTTTAGCTACATTTTCATTTAAAAGAATACATAGAAATCGCAGAAAACTAAGTCTTGTGAGTTAGAGGAAGAACTGTCATAGTTCTGGATGCCAAAAATTGATTGTTGCATAGCAAATTAAGTTTGAGAAAGTGCAACATCATGCTAATGAACCTACCTCTTTGGCATTATCCGTATAAGTTCTTTAAACCATGTTTAAGTTATCTTCAGGTCAACAGCATTTTTGCTGAAAGTTTGCGTAAACATCTGATGTGAGTTTGCAGTACTTTTTCCAAGCTTATAAGAAAATTTAATACATATGCACTTTCCTTTACATCACATATTTTCATTATTTTTTAAATTGCAAAACACAACAGCTATAATATAAAAAAAATATGGAGTTCAAGAATATACTTTATTGAACTGAAGTAGCATGTTAACACATTTTCAAGAAGAATTCATGTAACATTTTCTGCACTTGTAAGGAAATAGCAATCTACACAATTTTGTTAATTTTGGATAGCCCTTTTATTATTTTCTCTTTTATATCTGTAAACTCATGCAAACAAATCCGAAAATTATTTAAGTAAAATTCTTACCTTACATTAAAATACAAATTTTTACAGAGAGAATACTTATTTATACACTGTACGGGATATTCATCATAAAACTTCTCAAAACAGAAAATATAGAAACATATTTTCTAACTGGATATTTCATAATGCTATCAAATATAAATGAAGATATTATTTTTAATTACCATCCTGGTACTTGGGTTTAAATATGAGAACTGAAACCATGTTACCATATTTTATGCAATACCTGCCTATGTCGCTTTAAATTTGTTCGCCGAGTGAACATTTTCCCACAAACATCACATTTGTATGGCTTTTGGCCAGTATGACATATTAAATGCTTCTTTAAATCTGATTTGAAGTTAGTTGAATAAGAACACAGACTACATCTGAATGGCAGATTGGTTGATTTGTAATACCGAGTTCGAATCTTACCATCAAATGACAGATGAAGAGGTGAACAGTAACCTGAAAAAATTAATATGTTTCAATGGCAATTATATTCATGAATTGTATATTTTTAAATAAAAAACACTGATGTTTTAAAAATCAAAACTATTTGTAAAAAATACTTATGCATAAAAATAATAAAACTAAATAATTTAAAAACTAAAAATTCCTAATTCATAACAAATATGTAATAATTTAGAGTCTTATTATAATGTTATTCATGTGTTTTCCAATAAATTAGTAAAAATATATAGTTAACAACAGTATAAAGTATAATAAAAAAGTGTGGATAACTACATAAATATTAAAAACAAAGATACATACAAATTATGTTTAAACTTTTAAAAAACAGATATGCAATACAAATTATGCAAAAACAATTACAAAATACATAATGAAAATGAATTTATTGTATATATTAACTTGGAGGAAATGTTTTAAATAAATATCGATTTTCTATCAAATCAGTTCTTGAATTTTGAGAGGATTACCAATTACAAACATCATGTAAAAAGTTTATTTATAATTTGCAACACATTTACATTTATATTGTAGTTGCAATATTTTTTTATGTATTTGTTTCAAACATAGCTTTTAAAGCAACAATAATATCAACTATAAAATAATTTAGAAAACATATTTCAGAAATAACTTGTACACACGTGGTTATCAGTTTAACCACTGATTTTAAAATTTCAAAAACTGAAAAATTCACTGTAGGTATAAAAGTAAAATAAAAATATGGAAACAGTGTTAAGATAAAAATAGTAATCATAACTTGCATTTCTCGCACTTTTATTAAAATACAATAACATGCTGGACATACAAATTAAAACAATAAAAATCATATGAGTTTTTCACCAACTGCCTACAAATATAGCTAAAACTAAGAAAATAAAAGCAAAGATGCTTAGTAATTTATATGATATAAGTGGAATGGAATTTAAAATCTTTCAATGGAAAACTATTTACTTACCTATTCAAAACAATTACAATAGAATTAAAGGATTTTGAGGCATAAAATAACATTACAAATAAGAATTTATACACGTCTTCTACACTGCACTTTTATACATGCACATCTATATGTAAAAATACATACACAGTAGAATAAGATGGAAATAAAAACAAAAAAAGACAGAAAATGAGAATTCAATCTCAATTTTTAAAAAAAAATTTCCACATTTAAAACAGACAAATTTGTGAGCAGAAATTTCATATTAGTACACAAATAACATCAATAATGAAGGATGAAAAGAAAATTTCCTTGTGATAATATTTCATTATTTAAAAAGTACATTACATATAAAAATCATACATTAAAATCAAAGGTAGGATCATTGTACCTAACAAAGTGAGTAATAAGGATGTAGCCTCCTTGATTTAAAAAATAAGGTACTTTCTCAATATCCAAAAACTCCACCAAAAAGTTGCAAACAAATTTGTTGATGACATATAAGAGAGTATTTGTCAGCTTGTTGGTGACATTAGAGACACCTTTAGTTAGGTATCCTTATATTTATTTCAAAGATGCATCTAATGCTGCCTACTTTTATACATTCTTCTTTTTAGACAAATATGTCAAATATACAAAACAAATATATCAAATTTCTCAAGACAAATATACTCTTCCGAGGTAATTACACCAACCAATAGTTATGTTTGGGGAAAATCCGAGTTTTTCTTCAAACAGTTTCTATTCCTTTTTCCAATAAAAAATAAAGTAAACAGCTGTTGTAAATTGGATACAGTTATCTGTAAACCAGTTTTTGCCCACATTCTAATACTTACTCTCAATTTTTTCCATTCACACCCTATAAAATTTGGTCATTTAAGACGTACAACTTAACATAATGCAAAATTTTGCATTTTTCATTGTTAAGCAAAGTGAATAAATGCAAGGCTTTCATTTTCATCCGTGAATACATTACACAATCCCATTATTACTCGTTAAGACAAAATGAAATATACTCAAAAGCAAACAGAAATACTAATTAGAAAAACGACTGTTGTATTTCAAAACACAAATCCATCTGCACTTAAACACACATGTGCTGCATGCATATCTTCATACAGCTATTGTTAGATAAATAATCACATATTTATTGCTCGATAAATATTTTTCATGCACATGGTGCATTGCCTTATCGATACTTCTTTACGACTTTTTGGTGGAAGTGTAGATAATCAGAATGTATCCCCCCGAACAAAAATTACATACTAAACAACAGTAGTACTTATATGTTTCAGGTACAATAAATACGAAGCGTATTCGGAAACTAAGTACCGCTTCATTCTAGTGTAGTCGCAGCGCTGTGGTAGGTGTCCCGCGCATGCGCACTAGTCTTTCTTGTTCACTGACTTTCAATTGTCGCCATTTTGGTTGCTCTATGTTGTGTTTTCGGTTTGCTGTGCACCTTCAAAATGTTTAAGACAATTAGTTCTCCCGCGGACTGTGAGATTCGTGCCGTGATTAAATTTTTGAACACGAGGAATGTTAAACCGGCCGAAATTTATCGTCAAGTGACGGAAGTTTACGGTGAATACGCAATAAGTGATGTAATGGTGAGAAAGTGGGTAAGAATGTTTAATGCAGGTCGAACAAATGTCCACGCCAAGGCTCGGAGTGGTCGGCCTTCTGTTGTCCCCAATGATTTGGTAAGGAAAGTTGATGAAGCAATTCATGAGAACAGACACTTCACAATGACAACTCTTTCAGAGGCATTTCCACAAATTTCACGTACTGTTTTGTTCGAAATTGTGTCTGACCGCTCGAATTATCGCAAACTGTATTCCTGATGGGTTCCAAAAATGCTCACTGATGTTCACAAAACAAAGCGACTTGCTAGTGCCCTGACATTTCTCATGCGGTACAGTGATGAGGGAAAAAACTTTTTAAACCAAATTGTGACAGGTGATGAAATTTGGGTGTGTCATTTCACACCAGAATCGAAACAACAATCGATGGAGTGGAGACGCACTCATTCTCCGAAAAAACAAAAGTTCAAAGTGACAATGTCATCACAAAAAAATCATGTGCACTGTCTTCTGGGATAGGAAAGGCATTTTGCTTACTGAATTTCTTCCCAGAGGTGAAACCATTAATGCAGCATGATATTATGAGACTTTAACAAAACTAAGGCAAAACATTCAAAACAAACGAAGAGGAATGCTCAGTAAAGGAATTGTGTTGCTCCATGACAATGCTCGGCCCCATACTGCTGGTGTCACTCAATCGTTAATTCGACAGTTTCATTGGGAGCAGTTTGATCACCCGCCATACAGCCAGGACTTGGCGCCGTCTGACTATCACTTGTTCCTGCACATGAAGTGCGAGCTTGGTAGCAAGCGCTTTGGATCTGACGATGACACGAAAAATGCTGTGGAGTCGTGGTTTTCAAAACTGGCGGGAAGTTTCTTTGATGATGGTATATAAAAACTGGTCACCTGCTATGACAAGTGTTTGATCATTGGCGGAAACTATGTTGAAAAATAGTTTAAGACATGTATATTCATGTAAAAATAAAATTGGATTCGAAAAAATTGTTTTACTATTTTTTTTTTCAAAATGGTACTTAGTTTCCGAATACGCCTTGTAATTATGTTTAACGACATGCTATATGTTTGGTATCTTTGTTCTGTTCTATAGAGTATCAAATTTAATACACATATTTCATAATTTTTTATGCTTAATCATCTTTGACAGCATGAATAAAATAACTAATATCAATACAATTCATTTGATTTTTTTTTTTTTTTTTTTTTTTTTTTTACTGCTTTTTTACAATTTGAAAAATAAAGAGCACAAACAATCAGAAATAAGCAATGGAATTTTGTTAAGTTTTATTTTTGAACTAGTTATAGATATTGTTATCATACATAAATCAAATTTTGCAAAGAACAACAAACTTACAACTGAGCTGAATAACATTCGTATTGTATAAAATTACAAAAGAAAATGTTTAACAACACATCACCATTGAATAATAACAAATTAATATGAACAGTTTGCATTAAAAACAATAAAGCATAATTCAAATTAAGCTTCCAAATAAGCATGCAATTTAATTTAAGCGCATAAAAAAATTACTCGAGATCTGTGATCTAATATTAATTATGCATCATGAACTTTATCATTTTATATAACAACAAATTTTCATTATGCAAAATAATAAAAAAAATTTGAAAAGCCCTCAAAATAAAACCTTCATTTCAAAATTATCGATAACAAGTTTAAGTATTAGAGGTGGAAAAAAAGTAATGATAGAATAAATAAAAAAAGGTAAATCTAATGAAAAAAATTAAATATTACAAGTCATTTAACAATTACTATGCTTTCTTTAGTTCTAATCTAAGATAATGAGGTGAGGGCTCAACTTATATGATGAAAACTCTTATTTATCCTACAAGAGTTTATTAACTTATTAGAAATTCTCTCTATGAAACCTGGCTTACATCTTAAACACGCAAATTTCAGTATTTTGCTAGCTTACCCCTTTTTTTTTATATTTTTAAAACAATTTTTTTTTTATTTTATTTTTTTTTTTTTTTTAAGTAATGCAAAGAAGAGATCTGAACTTAGATTTGAGGAATAAAAGAGCAAAACATTTGAAACCCATTGAACAATGAAGTTAAGAACATGATATTTTAACATATTAAGTAATGAACTTTCTATAGGTCAGTTTTTACATATTAATACAATCTTATCAGATTTTTCTTTCTTCTTTCCTCCCCCTCTTCAGTGAATGTCTCTGCTTTGTGCTTTGCCATGTTGGTGATGCCCACAGTGCCATAAGAAAGGATTATTTGTGATTCAATAAATCAATTCTCAGCTCAAAGACTTTTCCTTTTTTATAGCTGCTGATACTGATCACCAAATGGTTTCTTTTAGTAAAATATCTTTCTCTCATAAAAAAAAATATAGCTTCCTTTTCAATAGATTGAAAACAGTCAGTACGGTATGATAAATATTTGTAACGAAAAACAACTATAATTTAAAATAAAAAGTTTTCATTAGC